AAATAAAGGAACCTAGGAATTAAAATTAGTCTCTGGGTCATCAAACAGGAGCAGGTATGAGAAATGGTGCTCGCTCTCCAACACAGCCACCTCAACAGATGTAAGCTGTATTCACTCCCATACCAGTCTGACCAAATAACCCCTTCTAGACCTCTCAGCCTTGAACACATTTGAGCTCCTCACGCCCCACAACTGTAGGCTTCTTTCAATGGCCAGTAAGGCCCTGCCTGACCTGGACGCTGTCTACCTTTCCAACTGCACTCATGTCCACCACATTCCAGGCACAGCTCAGGGCGTCTGCGTCTGCACACACCCTGCTCATAGGTACTGTACTACCTTTGCTCCCTCTTGGACAACTGTTCTCTGAAACAACATCGCCTCAGAGAAGCCTCCCTGTCAGTCCTGTGCAAGCCTGAAATGTTTTTATCTCATTTCCCTGCTTTATTCCTTCACGATAGTTATTGCAAGTTTAATTATTTATATATTCACTTAATTGTTTATTTCTGGCTCTCATTAAACTATCTCCTTAAGGAAAGGACCTGGCATATTTTATCACTATATATGTAATAATTTAGAGTAGAGCCTCACACATAATAGCAATCAATAAAAACACATTGAATAAAAAAAGAAAAAGCAAGGCATGAAGTACTTACTCTCATTCTTCATTGGAAGAAATGCAGGTTGACAAGCTTATAACACATTTATGAAATCAAGTTGCCAGGGACAGAACACAAAGATGTTCTCACTCTTAAGTTACCTTTCCCCCTGAACACAATTCTTCCAAATCAACTTTTCAGTGTATAAATAGGATTAATGGATCATATTTTTTTCATCCAAAATTATTCTCTATTTCTTAATTGTCTGCTTCTATAAATTCTCCATCCCTAACAACTCAGTCCCCTTAATCATACGTATTTTTGTTACAGTGAACTTTGAGGAAGTTATTCTATGTCCAAATACTTAACCTGCCCTAGATCATACTGCCAGTCATTGGTAAAGCTGAGATTCGGTCAAATCCAGGATTGTGACACTAAGCTAGAGCTTTCTAAATTATGTCTGTACCAGCCACTCTTATAAATGGGAAGCCAGGCGGAAAGGGTGGCAAAGGAGCCGTGGTGACAATCTGGGCTAATGAGCCCAGGATTACCTTCGAGTTACTTAAAAACAGAGAGCAGTATCATTTTGTGAACATAATATTACCTTGGAATTTTATATTGGAATATTACCTTGGAATATTACCTTGTAATATTACCTTGGAACATAATATTACCTAAGCCTGGAACTTATATTCATCCACTTACAGTATCTTTATTGTTCTAGTAGCTCCCATCTGTTTGCTTTGCAGAATCAAATGTGGGAGTAGAAATCTCCCCAACCTTTTTTTAAAAATAAATCCTGACAAATATAAATTTAAAAGCCACTGTTTATTGGGCACTTGCCACATGTCAACCACAATACTTATCACCATTTTTTAGGCAGTGGCAATTTATCACGTTTTGAGTGAGTTCCCAGGTCTGAACACCTCTTTCTTCTGGGAATTCCCAGTTTCCTAAATTTTTGTGACAGACAGAGCTCATGTCCTGCATGAATGCTGATCATATCATAAACTTACTTTTCCAGACTCCCTATTGCAAGGCATGGCTAAGTGACCCAGAATCACTGGCTTGAAAGTATCCACCAGGAGCAAGTGACAGAAAGAACTACTGACAAAAGAGACTTATTTTGAGAAGCAGCAGCAGTGTTGGCTTCAAGGGCAGCAGTTAATAACAGCCCAAGGGCAGGGAATGTGACCTGTGGCATTCAATACACAGGAAAAGCGCAACAACCCTCGCCAGACTGCTTGTATGTCATGACCGTGACTAATTTAGAGCCGTATAACCTTTGAGTCTGGTTCTCCCACCCTTCTAGTGACACTGAAATTTCCTATTTCTACTCCAAATCTCTGCTTAAGCCAGTGAGACCCAGATTTTAGGGCTTATCACTAATAACCCTCAGCAACGCACTCTGTTTAGTTTTCATGGCCACCATTTGAGAATGATCCTATCATTAACTCTACTGCAAAGATAAGGTCACGCGCTTGGGAGAGGTTGCCTAGCCTAACATCCCAAAGCTCATTTAGCAGCCGTTATCCATGAGATAATAACCAAAACTAATGACACTCATAATCTAATGACCTCTGTGATCTCTCCCAATGGCTTCATAACCTTAACATACTCTGTAATATGCTGCCATCCAGAGTAGGAGGCTATCTAGGGATGGGGAGGACCTTTTCCACAAGCCCGTTCTCCTTCACTCTGGTCCCAAAGAGGGTAATTGCTGAGAGAAACAAGGAAAAGTCTGTCTTGGGGCTTCATTGCTCTAATGCTAGGGTAAAACAGCTCAGGGCTGCTCTGATTAGAGAGCTGCTTCTGCCTCAGGAAGCTCCCCGACACACCCACCCCAACGTTAGGTAGGTAAGTCAGGCAACCAGACATGGAGCAGGTACTCCAGGTTAAGAAAAGCAACAGAAGGTTGCTTATCTCTAGTTTAAAGTAGGATAGGCTACTTGGCCTTTGTTCAGGAAAAAAATAATTTCTAAGTTATTTTTCTGCCTTTATTAAATTTGAAAGGAAGGAAGGAAGGAAGGAAGGAATGTTATCTGTTAATTTACCATACCAAATCTAGGAGATACTTTTATTTTAATTAATTATATTGTGACTGAGTAGATTCATATATAAAAAGAAATACCCTGAATTCCTTTACTAAGCGCTTCTTTTTTTAGTTTTCTGAGAGAGGGTGTCACCATGTAGGCCAGTCTAGCTGTGAACTCTTTGTAGTCCAGGCTGGCCTCAAACTCATGGTGATCCTCCTACCTCAGCCTCGCAAGTGCTGGGATTACAGGCATGTGCCACCATGCCCAGCTCTACTAAGCATTTTCTAAAATGGGTTTAAAAATAGCCAGGTAGAAGTCATCTTCAAAATGTAAACTGAGGGTACAGGTAGTAATAATAAGGTTCACAAACATCAGTCTTATTCTTTCTGTCATATATTGTATATTCTCCTGCTAGCTTATTTTATAAAATTCTTATCACCAGAAACAATCCATAAGCATGTAAGAGGATTTCCGTTCTCCCCTTTTCTGGGAGGTGCTTATTCAGATGGGTTCTCACTATATAGTTCAGGCTGGCCTTGAACTCACTATATATAGTCCAGGCTGGCCATGAACTTGTGGTGATCCTCCTACCTCAGCCTCTCATGTGCTGGAATTAGAAGTATAAATATACTGAAAAAAAGAAATTACCTCAAGCGTCTACAAAAAAGTAGAGTTCAAGCATAACTGTGGATCATTGGTTTTAATCAAAACATTCTACATAAGGAACAAATTCAAATGCTCTAGGAAAAATAGCATGGCTTACACATTTTTGAAGCAAGACAAACACAAATATTCTTAAAGGCAAGCTTTCAGTTTCTGAGTATTTTGAGAACAATCCAAAC